CCAAAGACAGGCTCACCCTCAGGCTGCGGCACTGATGAGGAACCACAAGTCGCTGGGAAGAGCGAGAGTGTCGCTCTATTTTGGGATTTTTTTTTTTTTTTTTAATTTGAGGTGGTTAAGAAGTTGTTTAATTTGGGGAAATTTTGGCCGTACTTTGCTACAGCATTAGACTTCTCTGTTGGGTGTCTTCTGCTAGAAAAGTTTAGGTCTATTTTTGTTTGTGTTCGGTCTTACGCAGCTAAGAAAACAGTTTCAAATAGGACAAATTGTCTTGTTCCAGGGAGGAGGTCTGATCTAGAGAGTGAAAACAGCTTGCTACTTGGAGAGCCGTCCACGAAAGAACAAAGCTCTCAGGACAGTTCCAACACTGTGCCCCACGAGAGAGATTATAGAGCCAAGATGTTGACCTCAGGAAACACTACTATTTCATAGAATCATAGAATCTATGAAATTTGAGATAGTTCTCCTTGTTAAGTGGCTTTTTTTCCTAGGATTTATGTGCCCCAGTGCCTGCTCTTCAGGGTGCTGGTCCTTTGGGTATGATGGGCAGGGAGTCAAGTGCCTGGGGTATTCCCTTCACCTGATTGTAAAAAAGGGGAATAACATTAGTTCATTTTACAGGGATGCTGGTGCACCTTTCTGATAGTCTTTAATAGCTGGTGCTGTAGAAGAAGGGTTGAGTCTATTTTAATCAGGTGTGTGTTTCTCCCATGTTTGTGTTTTGCATGGCACTGGCAACGTGAAAGGAAGAAATGTTCACAGAAGAGCCAATATTCCTGCGCAGCATTTGTGGAAAATCAGTTCTGGATGCACAGACATATGGGTTCCTTGTGACAGTTGGATCGAGAGTTACGCTGGGGTGCTTAGAAAAGTGAGATGACATCATATGATCTGTACATCTTGTGAAAATGAATCAGTGCTACTATTATTAAACATCTCCACTCGTAATGGCTGCTTTGGCAGACTGGTCGTAATGAAGAATTTTAAACTTGGTGTAGGATATAAATCCTGGTAGGAAGGAACTCTGAAACCAACAGGAATTTTGCTGATTGAAAACCAGACTCGGTTTAGTCCAATTTCAAGCCAGAGAGCCAAAGTGTGGATTCAACACTTTTAGGTTCTCAATTAAAAGGTCATCATCACATCATCAAGAAGTCCAGACTCATCACATCACTGGTCTGTTTTCCAGAAAAAGTCACTCTTGTCCAAACGACAAGGAATGCCTAAGTGAGATAAAAGTGGTAAGTGTGACCCAAGCCAAGAACCATTTTGCTGTCAAGGCTTAAAAATATATGTTAGGAAATGAGTCTTTTGATAGACAAGTCACAAGACCAAATTTGTCTCTCTCTAGAAAGAGGAGCTGGTGGAAATTATTCTTACATTTACACCTAAGGCAATCACCCTGGATTTATTACTCCATCTCAGGCTGCAAGCCTGAGTCTGATTTACTAACTACTGTCCCTTTCAGTTTCTTATCCAGGGTGGTAAACCAGCTGTAGAAAGCTGAAAGGAATTTGAGTTGCGTGTCTTGTCTTTTCAGCCTGTTCCTTGTGCTCATTTTGGTCTATAAACAAACATCTCTCAGGTCTCCTAAATAGATCTTCTGATCGAGTTCCCAGAACAGACCACCACTGGTCTCATTAAAGCTTATTTATGCTACTTTCATGCATGAATAAAAAAGCTCCCATTCACTTGATTTAGTTAGATCCTGTGCCTCGTGGTGGACATTGAATTGGAGTGACACTTTTGGCACACACACACAAAAAAGTAGTGGGATTGCAGAGAACAGTTTGATACCTTCATCTTCTGCAGAAGGAAAAGGAAGGGGTTAACCTGTTCTTGGCTGTACGGTATTGATGGAGGCCCACGCAAAGAAAATACAGCTGTAAATAGTTAGGCGTATTCCCTAGTAGCTGTTTTGGGGGGAATAAGTCATTGATAGACTGACTCTGGACGTAGAATCTGTTTCCCAGGGATGCCACTCGCTTCCTGCGTGACAGGAGGAGGAAGGTCACTGTCGCTCTAGGTCTGAGCTCCCCAGCTGAGAACGATGCGCTCTCCCCCCGCTGCTTTTTCCAACTTGTTTGTATCGCCAGCTTCTCAGCGGAGTAACGTCTGCTCTGCCCGTGTGCTGGTCACCGTGGGTCCTGCTCTCGACTGGGGCTTCTAGACACCACTGCGAATAACAAACCTGAGAAACCTGAGTTTTCCCTTTGTGCCGGTGCACTTCACCTCCAGCCATGCTGCAGTGCCTGTGAGGTAAGATTAACAGCTAAAAATAAATTACAACAGTCAGTAAAGAAGAACAACACGGGGGTAAAGATCCAGCAGGTGTGAAATGCTGTGAAATGGGTTTGCTTTTCTCCAGCTCCGCTGGCTGATGTTCTCATGCCAAGGTCCCGCTCGCTCGTTTGGGAACCAGAAGGATTTGAGCCCCTCCTTTAAGTCAGAAGGGTGAACAAAAAGCAGCTTTGTACAGTTTCCTTTGTGCTAAGCACATTGTGAATATTCTTAAGCATTGCCACAAGGATTAACATCTCTGCATTTTAATGTGCCTGGTGCTGGAATGTCTCTGGAAAGCAGGGCAGGCAGGAACCGTCTCTCCAGGCGGTGGGCTCTGATAGGTGTTTCTTTGAAATCCTGCTCAGTAGCTTTCTGTGACACTTTTTTTTAACTCCCCTCCCCCCCCTTCCCCTTCTTCAACTGTTTCTGGAACAAATCCTAATAGATTTCACGTTTCTGAAATTGACTGGACTGTTTTATCTCCAAATACTTTTGCATGGCAGTAGTGGGGGAAAAAAAAAAAAAAGGTTGTGGACAGAAGTATGGAGTTTGGTATTTACTTTGGATCATTAACCTGGTCTGTAAATTTGATTTGATCTCTCCTTTTTTTGTTCCTCCCCCCTCTTTGTGTGATTTCAGAGCCCGCAAAGAGACGCTGCCTTTTGCTGCTTCGGGATCCCAGCAAGAAATGGGAGTCTGATGGATTGCAAATGCACCTGCTCTGTGTAAACCCCAGCAGAACAGATAAGTGCCCTTTTAATTATCTCACAGCAGCATCTTAGACATAGCTGTGCACTGCATCTCGCTTCAGTTCCGCCAGAAGAACGCTCTGCGGCTCTCCCTTCGGCTGAGAAATACCGGGTGATATCGGTATCTCACGTGAGATGATAATTAATTAGAGTCTGAGGGAAATGCAGCTGGTGGCTCAGGAAGCTCCTGGGGGTCTTCCCCCGGCCCCTCTGCAGCTGCCGTCTCCAGCAGCCCTGTGAGGTTTTGAGACTGAGGAGCAGCTCTGCGGGACCAGAGGAGGCTGATGTGACCCATCTGAGCCTTAAGGAGTCCCCCGGGACTCATTAGAGGTTTAATAACTAAACTTGGCTGGTTTGGTGGAGAAGATGCTTGTGCAGGCTTGGCGCGATCTCAGAGAAAGCAGCTGGCAAGAGAGAGGGCTTTCTGCATGTGCTCTTCATATGTGTGCGGAGAAAGTGATAACCCCTGCTTCTTCCTGACGGTTTCCAGGTGGGAAAGCAGTTGGGGATGGGGGAGACAAGCCCTTAGTCAAACTGAATTTATACAGGGCAGTAAGAGAGGTATCGTGGGTGAGTGGAAACAAGAATTGTCCCCTCAGAAATTATGGGGACTTTTATATCTATGGATGGAAAATACAGCCTATCAAGAAAATAATTCCTGCCTGCTCTTAGACACACTGCTGCAATTCCTAAATAATGTAAGAAATCCATATGGTGCCACGTACAGTGTAACTTCGCAGTAGTATACGGCCATGGGGCTGGGGCAGATATTCACTATACCTGCAATTTACTGCATTAGAATAATGAAAAAACACACTGAAGGTGAGCGGGTGAGCACTGGAGGGGATGTGTGGCTGGAGGAGGGACAGGAGCTGAATTAACTACTCCAGACCTATCTTGTCTGCTTTACCAGGGTTGATGGACAGTGTGAAATGTCTACCTTGCTGTTAGGAAAACTACAAACAGGTTTGCTACAGCCAATTAGGCTGTAGTAACTGATGTGAGCTCGTCTCACATGCGTAAGCAGAAGGTGAGTTTTCTTGGTGAAGGTGACAGCTGAGGACTGAGAGAGACTGGGGAGACAAGACAGTGAAGTGGGAGGTTACTGCGGCACGAGAGAGCTGGGTCTAGGTCAGCTGGTGTGGTCCCTGAAGTGTCTGAAGTTCCCTCTCTTCCAGGAAAATCTTCACTCCTGCTGTTATTACCATGGAAGTTTTTATATTAACAGAAGAAATTACATGCCTGAAGTTAATGACTATGCTCTGTCTTACAACGGTTAACAGTACTTATTCCTGACTTTTCAGTACTCTGATAGCAAAAAGGCTTGGCAGCCTATTAAGAAACACTGATAAAATGAAGCCCTAGTGAGAAAATCGGGGTTTGTTCATTCAGCAAGGATGGACAGGAAGACAAAAAAGCTTAAATCATGTGTGTACCCCAACGAACAGAGTTCTTTGCTCCTCAAAAAAAATTAATATGTATTTTTAACCTCAGAGATCCTCAAGGTCTTGATTGTTAGGTTTGCAACTTGACATCTGCTTTCTGCCGGCTTGCGGATATCAATGTTGCCCCAAATTAGGTCCTGTCAAATTAACCCTAACCTGGCCAGTTCCAGTCTAGGCATCGAAGCTGAACTTGTAAATCATATCCTGAAGTGTGGCACGCAACTCCTAATGCTCTGTGCTCCTTGGCAGCAGAGGCAGAAGCACTTACAGTCCCTGTTGGGAGCTGTACTGAGGTGGCAGAGGATACCCAGTGTGGTACATGCACCTCTGGTTTGGTTGGTGCATCCAGCAGCTGAGGAGAACAGATTCCACGGACCTTGACAGATTTCTGGGAGAAATCTCATCCAGAAAAGACAACCCACGAATCCCTAACTCTTTCCTCGTCTTACAGGTGAGCCTTGAGAACACTTGGGGGAGTGCAGCTACTGAATGTATGACCTTTCCCTGGGATTAGAAGAAAGCCATGGGGAAAGACAAGAAAAAAGAGGAGGCCGTCTTTCTGAGGAAAAAGATCACTTTGCTGCGGGCTTTCTCGCTCCTCATCGGCAGCATGGTTGGCAGCGGCATCTTTATCTCCCCAAAAGGAGTGCTGACAAACTCCGGCACCGTGGGCTTCTCCCTGCTTGTCTGGTTTGCCTGCGGGATCCTCTCAATGTTCGGTGAGTGGTGAGCTTTGTCAGCCTTCACTGAAGCACCTGGGAGGGGAGGGGAGCCAGACCATTTTTATGTATAAAAAGTGGGAAGGAATAAACTGGGAATTCACTGTTCCTACTGCAACAGAAACAAAGGTTTAACAAGCGTTGGGGGGTGTGTGTGTCACCAAGGTTCTTTAGTTCAAATGATTCTCCTGGGGTGATTGGGAAAATCCCAGTACTTAAGGTCAGCGAATGTGGAATCATGTGCAAGTCCAGGGCAGAGGAGTGATGATGACTGCAGATGGAGACAGCGTGGTCTCTGCCAGGAAGGCTGGGAGAAAATGAGGCGACTCTTTCTGTAAGGTGGAAGGGAGATGTGGGTGTCTAAAAGGCACCTGTGGGTCCGAGGGCTGTGCAGTGCTTCTCACAGACACCATGAAAAGGGCAAGAAGTGACAGACTTAATTTGCCATAAGGGATCCCCTTTGTGCCGGTGAGGACAGACTGCTTGGGGATCTGCAGAGTATCCACCAGCCCAGGGTGGGTCTGGGTGTCTGTCAGAAATGGTTTGGATATGTCTGATACTGCCTTGGAGCAGGAGACAGAGCAGATCAGTTCTGCCCTGCTTTCTGTGTCTTACCCTTGGCTTGGTTTTCTGGCATCGAATACCAGTCTCTTCTTGCAAAGGGTCGGCTTTTTGATGACAGTTTCATTCTAGTTCCTCTGAAATGATGTAGCTCTTCAAGTTACGATGGAAAACACATATGGCTTTTAGTTGCCTTCATTAACTGTATAAAATCACCATCTCAGAAATGCTCTAAAGGTGCTGTTTGGAGAACTGCAAAATCTCTCATCTCCGGGGAGAAATCTGATGTTTATTTCAGTGGGTGACTTTCAAGTCCTTTTTCTCTCATAACTTAGGGGAAAAAAAAAAAAAACCCAAAAAAACCCCAAAGACCACCAAACCAGGAAAGGAGAAATACTTCATGTAAAAGAAAAAACAAACCTTTGGCACTGTGACATGTACACGCAAGTTTAGAAATAGAGACCTTCAATTGTTCATATCGCAGCAAGTGTGGCTCTCCCTCTTAGCATACGTGTGCCGATGCTTCACGTTGCAGCCCATGCGTGGTTGTTAGGTGAATGATACGGTTTTGCTTAAAGAAAAGTCTTAACATGTAATGTGAGCACCCTGTGTGTTGTTACTGAGCAGAGCTGGAAATGCTAACGTGTGTCACGTCCCAGCAGTGCTCAGCCCCACCGTAAGGAGAGTTGTGTGCTCCGAAGAAATGTTTTATGATTTCTTTTGGTGAACAAATGATGTTTAACCTCGCAAATTAATCCACTCTAGGCAGGGCTTAAGATTTGTTCTTAGACGTGCTCAAATGGCATGATGGATTGCTCTGTAAAGAAAACACAGATGGGATTGTTTTTGGCAAAGGGAGAGGCTTAACGGTTTCTATTCATGTGCCTGGAAGTTTGAAGCTGTCTTCTCTGGCGTGCCTCTCCCAGGGTTTCTCGCTGTGCCCCGGGGCAGGGAAGCACGGAAGCGGGGTCAGGCCATGCCCAGGTCTGTCGTGCGCTCCTACGTTAACCTGTGAGGAGAGGCCGACTGAGCCTCTCGTGCGAACGCTCCTCTTGCTCTGCGCCATCGGGGCTGCGTTTTCCTCCAGAGTCAGGCCTTGCCTCTCAGAGGAGATGCCTTTTCAGGTCCTCTGTCCGGTGTCTTTGAATGAAGGAAGGGATTTATGTGAAGATGCAAATTAAGGACACAGCTATGTTGTCCATGATCAAAAACGTGACTGGAATGGCCAGTTCAGCCACAGCCTCTGGGCTGAGCTGCTGTAACTGCCTTGTGGGCACCGTATCACCAGCCTAACCCGGAGGAGAAGAGACAACCCAAACCTCCAGCATGTTTTTCAAAGGAAACCTCTTGTAACTTAGTGCAATGCTTCTATCACACTCCTTTCCACGTAACTTCCATGGAAAGAAGTTGTATCATTAACCAGAAAATAGAGAATTTATTTCCTTCTGACAGAAAAGTCAGTTACTTCAAAACACTATAGCACACAAAAATAGGGAAGAGTGGTTCTGCTGACCCCCTTTTTCTTCCTCTAATCCATTACTTATTTTAAACAGACTCATTCAATCCCTGAGAAGTTACACAGCAAAGAGAAAATCCACGGGATGATTTACTCAGTGCATTCCTACCTGAACTTTTCCAGGTGCCTTGTGCTACGCAGAACTTGGAACAAGAATCACCAAGTCTGGAGGACATTATATCTATATTTTGGAGACACTAGGGCCTCTGCCAAGTTTCTTATTCCTGTGGGCAGAGTTTTTTGCTATCAGGTAAGAGATTTTGTTTGTTTGCCTTTTTCTGGATGTTGTGGCAATTTAAAAACAAACAAACAAATCTACAGTGCCAGGTAACAGTCTGTGCAGTTTGTAAAGGAAAGAGTAGGAACAATATGAACAACTTTTAAAGATTTTCAGTGATAAAAGGAAGAGGCATCATGAGGAAATAGTTACAATGTTCAATGTGATCTCTACTTGAAGAATCTCACTTCTCCCCTGGAAGCTGTTACTCTTCCATGGTATTTTTCAGAGCCATGGTATTTTTCAGAGACTGACAATAGATGCCACATTTATTTCAGATCTGTTTTCGTCATGAAAGTTTTTCAGGTTCTCCTGTGGAGACAACTCTCTGGCTCAGACCCAAGTTAAATAATATTTTAGAAAACTGTAAATGATTTCTTTCTTAACTTTAAAATGAAAGTCCTCACCTCTCTATAACCTGTGTCCTTCACATAAACTGAGATGAGATGAAGCGGGACGTATGAACTACACTGTGTTGTTCAATATGATTAATCTCAACTTTCGCTTTCCAGTTGGGAATTCATCATTTTTTTTTTTTTAACCCATTTACTGAGAAAAAGCTATGAAAAAGGCTTTACAGGAGTTTACTATCTACATGGGAGAGCAGGATTAAACTGGGTGGGGAAACTTCCCCCCCAGGTTTTGTGCAGTTTTTCATCATGCCATTTTTTGGCTGTCTGCAGACCACAATTTGTGCTTGGTTCTTCCCCCACCCAGGCCTGCCAACAGTGCTGTGGTGTCTTTGGCGTTTGGACGCTACATGCTGGAGCCGTTTTTTGCCCCCTGTGCAGCCCCCGTCCCTGCTGTGAAGCTCGTGTCTCTCCTGGGGTACTGTAAGTACTAACTTTTATGGGACTGCTGATCTTGGAGACTCCCTGCCCCAGTCCCGTGGCACACAATGGGTGTTACCTTCTGAGATAACTGTGGGATTGGGGCCCCATCTTACGTCCTTGGCCACCCAAAACTTCCTGATCCAAGGCATTGGTTTGGGAGCCACTGTATTCTCCAAGAAAGGGAATGAGCCACCCCGCTGACCAGCTGGAGACCTAGGGCAGGGAGGTTGTGCCAAATATCGAAGTAGAAGCTCTTCATGTAGAACTGTGCAGACGCCACCCGTGTTGAGGGTGTAAGGCTCAAGGTTTTGGACTCCTTGCCTGGTGCACCCAGCCTGTGAAGCTGTCCTGCCTACCCTGGGCTGGTGTGTGCTGGCACAGGGGTCGCTGTCAAGGGGCCTGCTGAGACATCCCTGAAACCTCGCACCTTTCCCCCCGGGCAGGCGTGGATGATCCAACAGGAACCAGGCTGCTGCCTGGTCTCTTTTAGGAGCATAACTCAGCTCTCCCTTCAAGCACTACACACCGTGCCACACCTGTAATGTTTTCCAACATCTCTCACCCCGAGCATCCTCCCTGTAAAGACACAGCCTTCTCCCCAGCATCCCTAGGGCAGGGAGCGCTGCTGTGTTTTTTCCAGTGTGTGTCAAGCATGGACTACAGCTGTAGCAGTGTGGTCTCCTCTCCAGACATGGTCCTCACCCTCAATTCCTGGAGCGTCACCTGGAGTGCCCGGCTGCAGACGGCTCTCTCCGTCGTCAAACTCCTGGCTCTTGCTCTCATCATTGTGCCAGGGATGATGCTGCTGGCCCAGGGTAGGTGTGCTGCTGCGTGGCTGCAGGAGGGTGCTCAACGTGCCCGCCTGTCACGGCGTCTGTTGGTCCCTGGTGATGACTGTGGCACTCCTGTAGCTGGCAGGAGCTTTCCCTGCCTGTCTGCTGTATGGGAATTAGCCAAGAGCTGAGACAATGGTGGTTGGCACTAAGATGCAGCAGGCTGATGTTCCTGGCTCAGCTGTGCTTCCTCCAAAACTGAGCAGGCCTCAGTGCCTGAGGCTGTGAGACTACCCAGGGGGACACAGGTACCTTCCTCTGCAGAGAGCCTTTTGGCGGTGTCACACTTGCCTGTTTTCAGTATGGCTCAAAATCCTCCCAAAGCAGCACAAATCTGATGGACATCAGGGATGTGTGACATAGAATCATAGAATCATA